GGTAATATCCACATCCCAGGATACTGTCGTTGTTCAACATCGCCCACCCCAATATGGAAAGTAGTCGCGAGAATGTCGGTGGAACGCAATGTTGCGGACAGACAACAGCTTAAATTTAGTTGTTTCAGTCACAGTTCAAGTGAGCGAAAGAGACGAAATCCATTCAGGAGTAAATCGCGGTCCAGGTGAAGAAGGAGAACGCCTCAATCGACTCACTATAAACGGAGAAACAATGTATGATGTGATTGGAGGGTCAACTTGAAGTACACGTTGTGTGGATGGATTGCGACGCGCAATCTTAAAGTGGACCGCGATTCCCATTGAAGTGAACCTTGGCCATTCGATCACTAGGACCGAAGCTGAGGGGTAACGGTCACGACTAACATCCCAATGGTCCCGGGTTCGATGTCTGCTATCTCTATCTGATGAGAGGAAATAACATTGAAACGCGTCTTGGAGTGCAGTGGGTAATGTGATTTGTCCTACGGTTGACATTGAATTTTCGTGGAACAGCCCTGACAGTTGTCCTGAGTGAACTGCACGTTGCGAAGCGATCCAAATGTGTGGTGGAAGCGGATAGGCAAATGAAAGGAGCCAAAATTGCACTGTGACATGTTCACGCATTCGGTGTAGTCACGCAGCGTGTGATTCTACTATCAGATGGTCATCGAAAGGCCAGAGTGTCCGTGGAATGTTCACTTAAAGTTAAACAACTATGATCCGAGCACGAAAGTGCGGGGGATGCAGTTGCCACAATTCACATCGCCAGAACAACAACAAACAGCAAGGGAAAGAAAACAAGGTTGGTTGCAGATAGAATACAAATAAAATGGAATCAGGACAGAAAAGCGCAAGATCGATCGGGATGAGATGAAGATTAACAGCTAGATGCAAGAAACCGAATGCAGGGACGCCACTGACTACATGACTGCGCCATGTCTGATAGAGTCTCTAACCAGTGACGTGAACCATATCCTCATGCAGGAAGACGGCAGGCACCAGTCTGATCACGTCTCTCGGTCAGGTTCTTCACGTCCCCGTAGACTTTACATGAGGAGACAATGCAGTGATCTGTGCTGTCACCCGAATTATGTTAAGCTGATCACTTCGGGAGGGGACCACTCTTGCACAGAAGACCGGACAGGAGGCTTTCGAGATAACAACCAAGTGATACATTGAAGGAGTAGTTTGCAAACGGTTACTGAGTGAATAGACTGTGACACGCAATCTGAAACGCGATTCACTTGGTAGTGAAGCTGGATCAATTCGGACACTTGGATCGCATTTGATGCAGATGTTGCCAGAGCGAAACAGCAGCATTGCAGCGTGAGGTCGGGACACAGGGATGTCAACCGAAGTCTCCACTCAAAAACGAATGTGTCGTGGGAAACAAGTGGGAAACCGGTCGTAGAGTACAGTGTTGCGTACGCAGATGCCTGAGATGGTGACCTTCGAGGCGTTCAAATAGGCAACAGTGTGCTGTGGCCTATGGATCTTGTCCTACAAGGAAGTGGTGTACCAGCGCAAATGGAGTGAGATGGCATCTAGCACAGAGATAGCACAGGTGCAGAAGTGAAAGGTTGTCTAAAGTAGTCTACTTGCGATAAGTACCACCCACCTGTACAAGATAACCATGTATGTTACTCACCTATAAACAGTGCTCCGTAAAGTTACATGGCGCTACGAACTAATGCTGACTTGGGCATGGAAAGAAGCCGCTATTGAGACAATTGTACGAAGTCGTTAGAGAAGGGACCGCGTTATGGCAAGACTAAGTGAGTGGTCGTATCGGTAGTGTTCGTCCCCTGAGACTGAGTGGCCGTAGTCACAGTCTTGTAGAAGTAAGGTGGCGGACCGCAACCCAACACGAGTCGGACGGATAAATCTTAGAAAGATGGAACGCCCATACAGCGCGTTACCGGTTGATGATGGAAATCCAAGCAAATCATATGACGCCCTCAGAAGAGTAGCTACTGCTAGTATCTTGTAACTTTCCGTCAATAAATTCAAGTAAGTTGTCACCAGTGAAAAACAGTTACATGATACCATCAGATGCCTACAAATCAGGTCGCGCGTACACATCAACGGACATCCCGGGATACTCCTTAACGATGAATTCCTGCTCACTGGTGTCTTCCGAACAGATCCTTTTCGTTTCTTGCATGGGATATCAAACCGAAATCAGTTCTCAGTAAAACCTGACGAAACATAACAAGCATTATGCGTATACTGAGAAGTCCAGATAACCCCTGCAAATTTCACGCTACAAAGATCCGTCTGGTTGCATTGAACATTCAACGGTTGTGACCGAGATTGTGCAGTAGCTCAACTTGATCTGCTGACACACATAGGATGTTAACATGGTGCATGTAACGTGGGAGTTACACAAACCGACCACCTAAGGTGACTCTCGCAAGGATACGAGAGGTGAAAAGACTAGTAGGCAAAAGGATAAAAATATGAGCAAAGTGGAAGTGATGAGAGAAGTAGGTCTGATCAGCGTGGAACCGATGACCAATACCAGTTGGTAGTAACAAAATAAGAATAGGCACGATGCGGACTTTACGGGTGCATGCTAGAACAACGGTATGAAACGCTAAAATCATCAGGCGAATGGCACTGGAATGGGATACTGACAACTTGCGAGGAACGCCCCGCAGATGTCATGCGATGGTGTTAGTTGGAAGTGAAAAGCAAGTCCCTAGAAGAAACAGTTTACCACAGTTTAAGGGGAAAAACCAGAACGTAACGGCTGTGACATGCGCGCTCGGTAGTGAGGGATAATGGCACCAGCCAGCAATCCTGTGTTCCTACCCCGGTTTCAGTGATCTAAACAAGAAGACGAACAGGACGAAGACGGAACGGATGGTGGAGTGTAGGGAGCAACACTGAAGGTGTCTCTGCTACGCTAGAGTAAAGTCAAAAACAATTGCGAAGTAATGGATGTATATTGTAGGACCAATTAATCAGACATATGTACAAGCGCTTGTTGAGTAGATAAGTAGATATAGGAAGAATTCTAAGTCGGCGTTTGAGTAAACAGGGAGAGCATGAGCCAATAAGCGCAGTGAAGGTAGTGAACACACTTATGTCCTGTGCAGTCAGTCGAGGTAACGCATGGACGGCCAGCTGAGGGTGCATCAGTCTACAACACACGTCCAGTCACAGTGAGGGAGACCCACGTAAAAAAAACTACGACCCAAGTTGAAACCATGTATCGTATCGAAACCAAAAAGGAAAACAATTCCAGGATTTGGTTCAGCTAAATGCGCATGAAATTGCTGCCGGTGAGCAAAGTGCTCCGGCGCTAAAAGGGATCTCAGGATCTCCTGAGACATGCGGACACCAAACATTTATTTTGCTAGATAGTAATAATCTGTGTGGCAATTGCCATAGAAGGGGTATGAATGCCAAGTAGTTAGAACAAACGTACCGACAGCCCTACATGTCCGATTATCGCAGCAAAATCTAACGTAGCAAGAGGGTTGGGTCAAGTTGGCGATCTTAGAACGTGAACGATAAAAAAATACCCAATGTGGCTGGACAAAAGTGAAACAAATCATGTCAACAATTTCTGTGTTCGTAGAAAGTAGAAGTCACGAATAAACTGCACACAATAATCTGCCTCGACGGGGAATCGAACCCCGGTCCCACGAATTTCCGGTCCGTTGCTCTACCATTGAGCTACCGAGGGCTGATGATTAGGCGCGGAATTTAACACGTGACTTCTGCTTGGTGCGCGACGTATTGCCAATGAGTCCACAGTAACTGTCCTGGTGTTGCAGATCGGCTCACTCACTCGTCACTTCCAAGTGGACCAAAGTAACCGTCCATCCGAAGTCCAAAGAGCGATGGTAGATTACTTGAAGGATGTTTGTGAGTAATGTAAGTTTCCTAGAGGGTAGAAGTCACGATTAAACTCCACACGAAAGTCTGCCTCGACGGGGAATCGAACCCCGGTCCCACGAATTTCCGGTCCGTTGCTCTACCACTGAGCTACCGAGGGCTGATGATTAGGTGCGGAATTTAACACGTGACGTCTGCTTGGTGCGCGACGTATTGCCAATGAGCTCACAGTGTCTGTCCTGGTGTTGCAGATTGGCTCACTCACTCCTCACTTCCCAATAGACCGAAGTAAGTATCCTTCTGTAGTCCAAAAGGCGATGGTAGATGACTTGAAGGATGTTTGTGAGTGGCGTAAGGTACGAAGGAAGTAGAAGTCACGATTAAACTGCACACAATAATCTGCCTCGACGGGGAATCAAACCCCGGTCCACGAATTTCCGGTCCGTTGCTCTACCATTGAGCTACCGAGGGATGACGATTAGCTGCGCAATTTAATACATGACTTCTGCTTGGTGCGAGACGTATTGCCAAAACGTGTTGAGTGCGGTCGCAATATAACGGGTCATTTAGTTTTTCTTAGCGGTCGGGGTCAATTTCAAAGTAGGCTGCACTCTAGATAAAGAGACTGGGTCGCAATTCATTCATACAATAGACACTGCACCAAACAAGCCATTATGCGCTAGTCGGAGACGCGCTTTCTGCCATAGCTCAAAAGGACTTGTAGGATATCGCAGAAGTCCTGCGCATCCGCCCTTTGAAACCAGACCGATGTACATATTATCCATGAATATGAATGTGGCTACAATTGTGAATAAGAAACAGTGGTGCAGTTAAATCGTTCATTAATTACCGCAGTTGGTGGTAGCAAAATACTCAAATCGTCGGCCAAAGAATATGTCAAAGCTAGGCACTGTAAAGAAAAGCACCAGACTTCACCATGCATACTGAAAAGGCTGATGCTATCGGATTCAGGAGTAATCCGTTAAGATGCTTGGAACAGGTTGGATGTGTCGCGACACTAGGAAGCATTTCCATAGCAAATACACCTCGCATCAGAGAGACAGACAGGGGAGAGATGAGCTGGTGGAGCAAGCAACGAGCGGTAGATATAAGCTACTCTCCTTTGAACATCGTTCGAACAAAATATGACTTACTTTGAAAGCGACTGATTGCAGACTTTCAAATGCATACAGAACCGCTTGACCGACGCACAATATATGTTCCAAGGAGGGGATTCCAGACACAGCGGCGTCCTCCTTTGATGGCGAGTCACTAGGATCGTCATATGAGAATTCAAGGTGTAGGCACCAGGTTGTACACGTTTGGTCGCTTCCAAATTTCCCACACCCACGAGGTGATTGGCATGAAGTGATCAGAAAGCTGGCCACTAGGTCAACTGCAAACACCATCTGACGATCCACAAATACAGTGGCCCGACTTGCACGCAAACGCCACGGTACCATACTGCTTGGGAACCCGTGTGCAGTAGAAGGATGATGCAGCGGTGGCGCAACTTTGATCGCCTCTGGAATGCCGGATCTAGTGGGGTCAATGTGCGGCTGGTCAGGTTGTCCGGTAGCTGGATAAGGCAACGAATTACGCTCCGAATTGTCCATCACGATCTCAGGCGAAAAGAAATCAACGGACGCACAGTAATCGCTTGTCAAACCAGCAGACAAGGATCCCGCTGATGTGAGATCGTAATCGGGACGGAGAATCGTCAGTTTCCAGGGCTTAAGCACCACCTGAACGTGAGGGATAAAGCGATGAGAAAAGAGAAGGGGCCATTAGTGGATGTGAGATCTCTAAAGATATAGAACTGAATAATTCCGAAGCCAACACGAGAGGGGGCACGGTGCTATCTAGAGCAACTGAATAAAGGAATGAGCTAGATCGGTAGGGTCTGCAAAAGAAATGGTCAGGAGTAACAGGCGATGGGACAGTCTGAAAAGTTTAGTAACAAACCCTACTAGAACATTAGTCTAGGTGCAGAGGCAATAAAAGTGATACTGAATAGGATAAACTTTGCATAAATACCCATCAATAATTCTGATTTTATTCACTTAAATAAACGACCACGAGCCAAGTATCGGAGTGCATCAGCAATGTTAGGGGGGGGGGGCAAAAACTGCACAGGAGTAAAAAGAAGAGAAAGATACAAAGGAGACAAGCGGACACAATCAGATTGCAAGGGTGTAACAGCCCGAATATAGAAGCGCTGTTCATTCTACCCATAGGTTAGGGGGTGAGAAACACCTCGGCTATTGTGCCACAATACAAATCAAACAGGTGGCAATGGAAAGGGGAAAGGAACAGAAAACAAAAGTAGTACAAAACATGAATAATATTATGCATTGTTGTGTATTATGCATTAATGGCGAGCTCGCGGTATGGGGTCGGTTCTTCGTCAAATAGACAAGTGTACCCAAACAAATGTGGGCATCGGTCGTTCGGACTCCAATCAGAGGCCTTCTCAAAATGAGGGCCATCAGTTCTCGTGACCAAACCATCAGTTGACCTCCTTTCCACTTCTTTCATTCACACCCCGGTCGCGTAAACAACATGTCGCGGGGTTAGTGTGCTGGCAAGCGGATAACATGACCCAGTCAAAGGACCGTAGTGCGTGAAAATAATGACGCCAAGTCTTCCGTTTCTTTTTTCTGTGCCGGTAACAAGACGTCGAACACACTCGTTGCTGTTTGTCGACCTAATGTGTCATGGTTCACAACCATACCATAGAGTCAAACGGAAGGCTGCACTGCAGACTATGCCCTTCAAGGAGAGAGTGATGTCGCGTCGGTGTCGTGCAGTGGCGAAGTTGAGCAAAAGCGCTTCAAACTTGTGTTATATGGTTCGTGACATCGTCTTCTATTCAACAAGTGCCGAAACAGATGCTCAAGTAGTTGAGTTTTTGAAAGACTTCTAACTGATCAAACAGAGGGTCGGCACAAGGGGTGGTTCTTACCAAACTCGAAGGAAGTCCTTGCATTTGGACGGTGCAAAGCACAACCCGAAACACTCGATAACATGTGTTAATCTGTGCAATGCTGCTTGGCACGTTTGTGATGCGTTGCCATATTCCAAAGCGAAGTTCATCATATTGGAGCAACAACCTCTAAAGCGTGTCCAGCTAAAGTAGTTTCCATGACTTCGTCAATGACGCAGTGAAAAAGGAGAAGTGACAGCGGGTAACGTTGTTCCACACCACCTTATATATTGAAGGGCGACGGCAGCTTATCGTAAGCCTTTGCACTGCGCGAACTACGCGAGTAATGCGCGCTCTGACGATGTTCACATATTTATCCGGCACACCTTTCCTTATCAGACAGTCCCAAAGTTGAGATGTGATCAACACAATTTCGATTTCGACGGAACCCAGCCGGTTCCTCACGAATCTGGCGTTCAGAAACGTCAGTCAATCTGTGAAGAACGACAGAGGCAAATAATCTGGAGGCGATGGAAGTCAGACTGATTTCTCTGTGACTGCTGGTATTGTCGTAAAGACTTCACGGTGAAGACTAAATCCTATCTATCATATTGATATGGTCAATTCACAAAAAGAAGACGATTATCAACCTAAGTAGGCACTCAATCAATTACACCGGACCGCCAACTAGAAACCCCGCAGTTTCACCAAAATCGGTGTAGCAACCGGTATACGAAATACATGACCAATGTAAACGGTTCAAGCTTAACTCATTCCAGTAGGACACTAGCTCTTTTACTGAACCTCAACTGGTGGGCTCCAGTATGACCCAGGTAGATATAAATAACCGACACAACTGGACAAAGACAACTATGCTTTATACTCATAGAGAGCAGAAGCCATAGAATAATAATGGTATCAGTGGGGTATGAATGTGTAGCAGAGTTCCCAAGGAAAACAGCACCACAAACAGTGGGAATGAAAAAGCAACGCGTTATCCAGAAAAGCGGAAAAGAGCCATACAAGGTAGCTAGTTGCAAAGACCACAGCAACATTTGTGGAGTGAGGGTATCAAGGGGATATTTCGGGCAAGAAGCGAACAGCGGAGATTACCTGAAAGACTCGAATACACATAGTGGTCTCCGGAAGGTAACCGTAGCAGTAAGATGACAAGCTGGAGAGTCCAGCAGCAGAGCGTTCGGAAAAATCGACGGCATGCTCACCATCCATAAAATGGCTATCAGCGTCCATTTGTTTTTGCCAGTGACTGCGACGGGCCCCAACAAACCAGTACTCAAGGAGAGACAACTTTGTGCACCACAAGCACTATAGGTACCTCCAACCAAAATGAGCAAGACAGCGAGCCATGCAAATGCGATTTGCGCGAAGGTGACCACCAAGCATACGACAACACTCGCTTAATTGTTTCAGTGTTAGCTGTATAGACACGGCGTATCACGAATTGACCGCGCTTCCGAATGTGAGATGACAGTATACTGCGAAGGATATATATGAGTCAGAAAATGGGTATCGGATGCAACAGCTGAGAGCCAGCAAAGTCGTCAGCTATATCTATCTATCCAAAGTTAAGATTCAGTTGATCATTTTTTCAACTCAGCTGTCTTGTGCCTATGAGTGGGATAGTGGTCGCCACATAGCTCTTTACCTGTGCGCGGTAGTAACCTAGCCCGCACACATCAACGCAACAGCTTGTATCGTTTTGCTTAGAGCGGTAATCAGCGTATGCTGCTAGTCTGTCCAGTGCTTTTGTCACATTCCTTTACCAAGTTAATGGGTTCCATCAACAGGTAGTCACCTAAGTACCATTGAAGGATATGAGGACCCTTTGATTGGAACTGCTGGAGAAGGGAGGTGCGAATCTTCAAGGATGAATTCGAGGGCGTAGGAGGGGGTCAGGATGAACACAGACCAGACAAATTTGGAGGAGTCGCGGAGTACCTTCGCACTTAATCTATTGGATCGCGCGATGCCCACGCCAAAAGAAGCATCAAGACAAAAGCTGCAACAGCTCAAGTGTTGCTGGATATTAGTAATTGAGGCTGCGAGCATCCGTATTGTTCATAAGGTTTTAACACTCGAGACATCACTCATCTGCCCGATGCTGAAGAGTGCCCCCATTGGCGTCGTGTGATGCGACGTCAGGCACCAGTTGTTTCCGCGAGTCTTACCGTCGCATCGCGATGGCGTTTTGGTGTTTGCATTGTGTTATACCGTTGGTATGATATATAGTTTACCGATTCCGCGCATAGCACTCCTTAAAAGCATACTATCTCCTGGTGCAGTAGTGCTTGCATTCGGTGCATCAGAGTGGAAAAATGTGGTAAGTAAACATGAAGAGTGAGTGCGTCGGTAGAACCTAGCAACTGTGCTGCTCAATCTAGTAATTATCTTCATATGTGATGTCGCTGTCCGTCATGCACATCTTTAGTTCATATTTAGGGGACCGATGTGCACAACCAGTCTCAGATACCTAAGACAACGTCATGGGTCTTGAGTTGCGGCCTCCACGTGACTGGAAAAAACCCTCAATGAAAGTTGTAGATACAAAGCGGCTTAAGAAGTGCTACTGTAATGAACTGTGGCAGATACACACAGAACCAAGTAGAAGACAAGAGACAAATGGATGGAGTCAAGGTAATCAGTTCCCACTCCAGCAACGCATTTGTGCAAAGCTGTCAATTCGTGATCCCAGGGTACGGATGTTTTGCAATTCCCAGTCTGGATATCAGATGGCGAGGGCAAGAGGGAGTATCATCCTTAACAAAGTAAACACTATTCCGTCAGAATCGGGCTCACTAATATCAGCACTCGTCACATCCTTGAATAGTGCAGCATAATTTTTGGGAATATGTATATGATCGATAAAAAAGCCTTAGAAAACTAACTAAGCGTCTGATTATTAAAGCGTCCATTTTGAGTCGAAAGGAGTGTTACCAGCAAATTCACATTGAGTCTCTTTGGCTACGAAGACTGAAGCATAACTTAGTGCTCCTGCACAATCTGACATAACAGAAAATCTACTCCGATATGTCTGCATTAAAGCTGTAACAAGAAGGGCATGCTCATTGTGCCAAAGATCAGGAATTCAATTCGCTTCAATTTCGGCCTTAACAAACAGTGTCGTAGCATACCGACTACCAGCAACTCCAGTGTAAACGCGATAACATTCCAGATTGTCGGGTTTCAGATCCCACACCGTGTGTTGGATTGCGACATGCAATTTCGATCGTGGTTGAATTTGAAGTCAGCCTCCGCCATTTCAATCACTAGGACCGCGATAACATTCCGTATTAAATTGAAAGTTTCCTCAACATGAACTACTTAATCATCATTCCCTGATCGGAAAGATTATCGGGGATTTCTTCCGGAATGTATGGGAAAACATATAACCAGTTGGAACATAAACTATTTAGACAGAGGAAAAATTGAGTATGTATGTGCTGACAGCGCAAAAAGCCGTATCCGCATATTCCTCGTGCAAAAGTAATATGTCACGAGGGTACTCAGTGATCTGACTATACAACAGGAACAGTCTCTCACACGTTCGAGAAACATGCCCATTATAATAGCGCTCATTGTATGTTTACGAGTGGGTACTTATGTGGTGCTAACGATGACTCAAAACAACATGGGAACCATGTGGGCGCAACCCACACACCTCAAGGTCGTGCGTATATGCAAGATACCGTTGAGGTGTACGTCGAGACCCCGAGTCCAGAACTTCGTCAGGGCTCCGTGGTCTTGTTGTGCGAAGGAACCTACCAATGGGCGCGTCGGTGCGCGTCATTTGTGGGAAAATTTTGGTTACCAATAGCATGTTACTAGATCGTATCCAGTGGAGTTTCTATTGGATATAAGGTGTGTGAACTGGGCTGCGAGTGATGCAGTGCAAGCCACTCGTGATGCCTGCCTGCGCATTGTGCTGGTCGCAGATACAATGACAGATGAGCCCGGAAAGGGATGCCAGCAGGACGTTCATCTACCGAGGTGGTAGGCAGAACATACGACTGCAAGGGTGAATTAATTCGTAGGAATGAGCCCATAAAGGTGCCACCACGGAATATTCTGTAGTATCATATGCACAGAATCCAATCAGAAGGAAACAAAAACATGGAACAGGTTTTAGCGAAATAGTGTGATTGGAATGCGATGCTCAACAACTTAGGCCATAGTAAATAATGTGATTCGAAATTTGGGAAATAATGTTGCATTTCAGAAATGTTGTCGTGGAAAACCTGTGTCGTGGAAAATCTGTCCTTATAGCTTCTAAGTCCTATATGGTACATAGGTGCTATGCGGAAAGTCCTAGCTCGTGAGGCTAGCCATTGTCCTCTGCACAGTTCGTAACTGGCATGGCAGTGGAAGATGAGCCGGATTATATCACAGTCAACTGTCAATCACGCAGACATGCGGCTGTCACCCATGGCGAAGTGGCACTAGCTGCTGGCATCGTGAAGTCATGCGGGCGGAACCCGGCAGGGGTCCGCTGGGAGCCGCACCACTGACAAGACCCAGAAGGTCGAAACGCCGGCATTTGGTGCTTTTCCAGACTAGCCTAAGCCTGCTGGTTGGGAGTGACGATGATGAATTAGCTGAAAAATAGAAAGCTTTTAAAAAGCAGATAGGCAACAAATAAATGACCAGAAGCACGAACAAACTATCAAAACAGATTATACGAAGGAAAGTTCAGAAACGAAATGTGGTGTAAGCAACGTAGGTCCGATCGTATGATATCATATGCAAGAAACCAAGTGAGGTACGATCAGGCCAAAATGGAGTGTATTTACTACATTTACACTAGCACTGCAGAGGTGCCTAAGGAGAGCGTCAATAATAAAATGCGAAAACAACACGCTAGATGAAAAATGCGCGCAATTGCGAAATTGTAAACAAATGAGAAATTAAAGGGATTAGTAGGGGGTGCTCAACTGTGCAAGCAGAAATCCATCACACCTATACTAAGCCATCCCACACGTATAAAAGAAATGTAGGGCCGTTTTATCGTTTCGGGAATCGTGTGCAGCGCGCATCACATCTGACTCCCGTGGGGCTCGAACCCGGAAACTGACTACCGCCAGTCTGTGGTTGAGAAAACTGAGCTACGGGGGATGAAAACGACCGTCGTGACTAAGTTACTCGGTGTGGTATAGCGACGCTCACTATCCAATGAGGGGAGTGTAGCCCTTTCATCAAGAGGGCGTGTGATAGCTTTCTGACTGACTAGAAGTGGCGAATTTCTACGTACGCAATTAAACGCCCCTAATACCCCCATTGTAATCAGCACGCAGATCAAATTGCTTATAGTGCCATAATTTGATTGGGGCTCAAGTTTGGTAAGTTCCTAGCTTCGTGAGGAGGCTGCTCCCTCCTCCACATGAAAGTAAAGTGCAAATCAGTGGAAAGTGAGCGGCGCTACATCGCAGCTTGTAAATTAGTCGCGAGGGCCGTTACCGTATCTGCAGCTCAGTGGTCTCAACCACTGCGAGTTTGAGTCCTACAGGGGTCAGATGAAAAGCGCACTGCTGGCGCTTCCAGAAAGGATGAAAAGGCCGTACAGTGCTATTACGGACGTGTGATGGCCGTCTGACTGAGTTCAGGTGAGATGAATTTCTAGACATACAATAAATAAATTGTATACAGCGATAGATGATGCAAAAACAAAAGATTGACAGATATGGCAAAGTAGCACTGTGATAAAAAGCAGAGCGAGAGAAGAAAACTCTAAAAGATAGCGCAAAAACAAACAAAACCATACGATAGAACGTTGCGGAGTGCGTGAAAATGGTCTTTTAGGAACATGATGTAAAGGGAGAATTATTAGATAGGTCGGTGAAAACAAACATAAAATGTCTTGACTGCACGATCAAAGCGTAGAACTTTTGAAGGAGAGCGGGGTAATGACGGAGAGCAGTATAGAAAAGGAAGGAAAATGCGTCAAGTAACAAAGTAAAATATATGTTAAAGAAAGAACAAAAGAACAACCTTCTCTCAATGAAACGCCCAACAAGCATGTCTGCAAAAGAGAATGGCGTAAAGAACAGAAAAATACCGAAGTATTTGACGATGATTGAGAGCGGATGGGCTCGTCGTCCACAGCCAGAAAATAGCAGGTAGGTGCAATAATGCAAAACCAAGCAAGGCGAGAGTAAGATGATATAGGTATTATACTTGAAAGCGTTAAGGTCAAGGGACGACGGGTGATAGCCCACTCTTTAGATCAACGACCGCATTGGAGAATCAAAGGTGGTACGGTAGTGAGAGCTCTAAACTAACCCGAAAAAAACACTGTAGGTGCGTTATATCAAACGTATCTCGATGGTATGGGGAGGTAATCTAGGCGTAAAGAACAGAAGAAAGGGAAGAAACAACGCCAGTAGAACATCAGAATCAGTACGGAGCATAATGGCTTTCGCCGATAAACGGAGTGAGGTGAGTGTGGTCCGTAATACATTCACTGAACACACACTGAGATAGACTCAGGCCCGAGACAGTAGTTCTAAAGGCGTTAGTCTCCCAAAACATCCGAAAGCATGTGAATAGTCAAGGAACAGAAACCAGACGGAGCTGCAGTTCGCATCAGAAGTGGGCGTCGTGGAACGTACGAGATACGACACGGTGGTTCAGAGTAAAGACCTACAAATGGACCGATAGATATCAACTGCACGAGTGGCTGTGAATACCAATAGGACAAATGGATTTCCAAAAGTTTTAAGCAACCCGAATGTGCACATAACCAGAAGAAACATTTATGATTCCTTGTGAACGATTGGCATTAGTCTGACCGGCATCAAAATCTCAGAGATGACACTAGTGGTTTGGCATTTGTTGAAATCACTATCAGATAACAGTAAGTTACAAACGTGAGGTGATCATAATAATAATACTAATAATGATAAGAATAGCAATAATAATACGTAATAACAATGCAAAGATAAATATTCCGAGTTAGCGTATTGTCGTAACACGACCATTAGGTATGTTGTCCGTCAGGTTAACAATAGGGTGCCCAGCCGCATGCACGAAATCGTAAACGATCACACGAACTGCAGACTAAAAAAAAGGCAAATGTGCGAATTAACTGAGTCATAGGACAGATTCGTGCCGATTGACTGCTGCTCACCTCCACAGTCAAAAGTTTTAACAACTCCTGAATCCCAATTAGAGTGAATCGAGAGTGAACCCAATCATCAGCATGCGTATTCGAACTGGTGTCATTCTCGGTGGGAAGGGTTTGGAAACGCGGCCAAATCGTTGAGGCATGAGGAGAAATTGCGAAATTGGGGTGTCCGCAAGAATAGCGATGGACAGATTGCGTCCGTTGATAAAACGCTTGATATAGACAGGAAGGAAAAAAGCGACAGATTCAAATCAAACTTCATATCATAAGAAACCCCGTCCCAAGATAATGTGGAATAAGGCAAAATAGGACGAGGTGAGCAAATCAAATCGATAGGGACACTTCACGCAATTCATCGGGCATACAGAAAAAGAATAGCTGAACGGAAAATGCATGCGACAAAAGAAGGAAAGACCGCGATGGAAAGAGTAAATGTGTGTGTATCCAGTGTAAAAGTGAATCTGAGAAGATGAGCCAGTTATTCTACGAGTAGATGGAGTATTTTCATCCTTGTGCATTAGACTGTCGAGTGTAGGAGAGTTTCAGAAAAAGGAAATTGCGCAATCTACCTAAGTCGGATTAAAGCGAGTGAGATTAAAAAACATGCGTTGTAATGCCGCTCATTACAAGGGATTCGGGTTAGTGTATGAATACAATAGTTCACCAGCTGGCAACGCTGAAGGTTCACTTAGCCGAGTACAGTGTCGGAAATAACCAGACAGGCACACGAGGTAGGCGGGTTACAGGTAGAGGAAAAGCATGCTAAAGCGAATGTAGAGGGTTCAGGTGGAAAAAATGGTCTGACAATGTACCGAAAGGTTAGCTGTCGAGCATGATATGGTGGGTGTTATTAACACACACTCCAAATGGTCTGACAACATTTGCACAGTGTCATGCTTGTAACACAATGCTCGAAGAAACCTAATATAGCAAGGTGTTTTTCATGTGCCATTACCACGTAGTTGATACTTGTGGTAACGCCAGCAGCACTGCGACGTCGTGCATCATGTCAGTGATTAAGTAGCCGGTCGTCTCTATCAGTGCGCAAGGTTTTGAAACAGCACATGAGTCTCACTGATAGGCGCCGCCGCGAGTTCCCTGTTGATGCGATCGCCAGAAGTCACTAAGGTCGGCTAACAGAGAAAGCGTTTGATGACAGTACGAAATGGTGGCCTTAGGGACCACTTCGACACAAGGTGCCGAAATAAGCATCACCTGCATAACAGGTAGTTTAGTTCGATTTTTATTGACGATCCATATAAATTGAAGTGCAGTGGATTCAGCTTTCTAGACCCAAGGATAATGAGGACACAAGGTAAACAGACGGATAAAATTGTCACATAGGCCGTTAAAAGAGAGAAGAACAAGGGAATAAAACTGCAAATCTCACTGAATCTGATGAATGAGAAAGCCACTGATGCAACCGGGCCAAAACACCTCATCCGAGAAGACGAAAGTACTCAGCCACAGTCAGTCGTTTTATGAGTTCCGTCACGCTCCATTGCCTTGTGATTGACTAGTGACTTCTAATTTTACTCAAATACGTGCACTATGGGCCGAACACACGTTGAGGTAACCGGCTTGATAGTACCCAGAGCACATGATCAAGCCAGTGCGCGATTTCCGATTTTAACACACACTCTAACAAAACGCACCGGAGCGGAGTTAAATGCTAAGAAAGTCAGATCATTTGCGCGCCCTATGTTTGCCAGCAAAGACATCTGCTGAAACTTTTACACCGACTGGAAAGCATGATGTCATTCTTAGAATAAATTCCAGGACCACATAACCATTGCACCCACAAAAAGATGCAGTATTTAATAAATTGCATAAGGTGGCCCCGTAAAATTTGCACGCGCAGAACTTACAGGGATTCAATGACACGGAAGGTTTGGGGCATGTGAGTGAAGCTGGAGGAAGACTTTTCGAATGGTTGCGCATTTGATCACATCGGAGAGCTTCTAGATCGAACATCGTGGGCGGTAGGTCTACCGAGGAGAGCCAGCGAATGAGGTACGGACTGAGGGTGCCAGCAAATCCGGAGACGAAAATTTGACAGAGAGCAGGGACTGGTCGTGTTAAAAGAGAACAAGAAGAGGTGTGTAAAAAAGTGAGACACGGGCAACCGTTGTGGAGCAGTGGAACTTCGACAGCCACGCGACTGTGACACTTGGCTGAAGATTGCCGGCAAGAACAGAAAGTCAAATGAGACGTAGGCTTACTGGAAAAAGAATCCTGTCCAAGCTTCGAAGGGAACTGAAGAGACAGATCGAAAAGGGTAGAATGTGGTGAGGTCGTTGTTTCACTCTGGCGAGAGCCATGAGAGTGTGGATGATGGGAAACGGACGCTTCTGTCTGTTTCAGTCTCTGAAGCACAGGTATCACAACGATGTTGGTCCCAGAACAAAGTAGATACGCATTAAGGTCACCATCGAGATTCATACAAAAACGCCATCTAAGCTGGTTGAAAGAAGAGTGCATATGAAAAGAGCCTGGCATTTCGATGCAAAGTGTCCCCAAGTCGACTATGAAATGAGAAAGCAGAGAGAGAAAGAAGAGAGGTAATCAACCGACTCAACAAAAGTATGAGCTTGGAATATATTTGCAGAAAAGCCAGAGATCAAGCGCAAAAAATGGCGTGCTTTGCGGTAAGCACGTAAAACAGGTCGCCAGCGGGCCACATTTGTTGCTGTCGCGTTCAAGTCTATGTTGCTGTTAAAATTTAATTTCTTTTCCATTAAACTATTTCATTACTTGACATTCACGAATTGGTCTAACCGCTAAATCATTTGTATGCACATTATATGCTACCAAGCTGAAGCAATGAAAATGTAGCGCAATAATCACAATAATAAATAAAAAACTACAACTGCTAGTCCTATGCGTCCTTTGTGAAAACAAAAATGTGGCCATGCGGTCCTCAGGGGGTCCTGAGTCTTATATGCATGCTTTACAGCGCAAGTGTGGGAACCATTTAGAACATACGCAAGGACAATGATAGATAGGATCGTAAGAAGGTAAGTCTCAATAGGCTTCAGTGGGTGCAATCTCGGTAACTACACTATGCTTGCAAACGCAGTAAAAAGCATTATCATAAAATACCAAAATAAGGAACAAGAGAAGATGCGAATGTCAGAAAAAGAAAGTGCGACGCATCACACTGATACACTTCTATAGGTCAGCACATGAAGGTGAGGGGATAGGGCGTTGGAGATAATTTATCAGCAGCCACATCAGAATGGCTGATGAAATCAGACCATGTGACCAGATGATTTTCATCACTCGCAAAATTAGGTCACTTTGTCATAGAGGAATGAGTATTTTCTCCTAATTTCGGACAGAACTCAATTCGTTGTCCATCGTTAACCGCGAGGCGATTCACGCATTGGGCGGTCCCAGCGATTTCGTAATGACAGTGGCGGTAGTCAGACCAATTTAACAAATCGAAATAAACAGGCTGCGTTGGATTCAGTGCGAGCCACGTATGTAAGCCAAATGCTAATCGAGGAGTTTTGTTTTGTTCATCAGATGCAAGATTGGACAAAGCTTGAGAAGGCAATGGTTGATCTAACGGTAAGAAATGGATCACTGACGGCTGAGCTGCTTATCTTATAGGCTAGAACTCAAGCTGATGGCACTGATGGCATATTTCATGTAGTCCCTAAGAATATAGTATGCTTGAATTACGCACGAGGCTGAGTTATCTATACGGCGACACCGAAGACATGCGCAGACAGAGTGACAGTGGTGTAACCAAAGTGTAGGGGCATTGATTCTGAATGTTTGTCCAGGGTACCCATGGATCATACTCATCTTCTCTATCATTACGAGAGTCAGTCGATGCGAAATAGTGAGAGGTGTGAAAAAACAAACGCTAAAATTTGCGCGAACACAAGAAACATTTTCATTCCTCGGTGTATGGCCAGGTATGTGAACGGTGAAAATTGCTGTTGTATGGCATAGAATGCAGACTGACACAAACGTCATAAGAACAGCTAGCAAGAAAAGCAACGACAGAATGTTTAGACAATCTGCTGCATTGATCAAATATTCAACGTGTACTTCCAAAATCATGAGAACATGGGCGAACAGCATGACAGAGTGTTATCTTTGGTACCCATTAAAACATTAAACCCCGAGGCACTGAGTTAAGTATGAGTTTGTGAACGCAAACAATACCCTTGAAAATAAAACGATGAGAAGAATGGTATTTTAAACGCCGTATGGCGATCACTGGCCAACTGTCACTGGTTTGTAGCATCAAATACACGAATTTTTGCACAACTGTTGTTGACAGAACGAGGAGGAAACTGGACAAGACCCTGCGTAGATCGCTTGAAAACACAAATGAAGAACCCGTTTTTTCCAACAACCTACAGAAGCATGTATACAACCTGTCTTCCGTATGCTTGAACAGAAAACAAATGGAAGCTTTGTCTTTGGGCGTGAATTTTAAGACTCCCCCAAAGAATGTCGACCGAATACACGTTGAGACTCAGTTTAAAAACCTACTGGACCAACTATCTAACTTGACCCTGACGACTAAGGAACAGCACAACTGGCTCAAGATTAAGCTCGTCGACATTGCAAATGGTTACATGGTGGCCCCGATACACCAAACCTGTTGTATAGATAGAAGTCACATCAAAGTCTTACGTGATCTGAATGCAGGACATATATTGGTGCTAAAACCTGACAAAGGCACAGGGGTTGTAATTATGAATAAGCTTAACTACAAAAAAAGATGTATGAGATCTTGGGAGATGTATCCAGATTTCAGGAAGACCAAAGCGAAGGCTCTGTAATGCAAATCGAAAAGAGAGTGGCTAATCAACTAAAATTGGTGCTGCAACATGGAATGATAACAGATGCGACGTACAACTCTCTAAAGCCAAGGGGGATACGCATTTCACAAATGTATGGCTTACTGAAGATCCACAAGGCCGACACACCTTGAAGACCTATACTATCCATGTGTAACTCACCATACCACAAATTGACACGTTGGCTAGTTGATCTGTTTACACCGGTGAGACGAATGATGACAAAGTATACTGTGAAAAGGATGCATTCGACCTGATTGACTGTTTGCAAAACATGATTATTGCTGACAAGGTAATGTGTTCAATGGACGTACAGTCTTTGTTCACTAACATCCCATTAAGAGAAACGGTGGATTTCCTATGTGAGTTTGTCATGAGTACTAAAGTAGTGTTACCGATTCCCGTGGAATATCCTAAGGATTTGCTGCTACTATGCACTGAAAATGTGCATTTCTTATTTGAAGACAAGCCGTATCGACAGGTGGATGGTGTGGCTATGGGAAGTCCGCTAGGTCCGGTATTGGCTGACATCTTCATGACGATGGTTGAAATGAGATGTGAGCAGCATATCAATCAAATGTGTTTGTACAAGCGATATGTAGATGACACATTAGTGATCGCCCCAAGTGGAAACGCTGTTCTATCTTTTCTCAAATTGCTCGATAACGCACATCCAAACGCCCGCTTTACCTGTGAACTGGAGGATAACAATTGCCTTCTGTTTTTGGATGTGTTGTTGACCAGACGAGAAGACGACTCCATAAAGCGTTCTGTTCACAGGAAAGCTACATGGATAGGACGGTATGAACACTTGAACAGCTTCGCCCCTATACAAGCGGTGCTTAGTGAAGACGCTGTTTAATCGAGCCCGCAGAATATGCACTGACGACTGTTTGGAATCGGAATTGCTGTTTATCACACAGACTCTACAGGCCAACGGGTATCCCAGAGGCGTTTATTCGATTCCATAGTCAACTGAAGGAAAACAGGCCGAGGGTACTTACTGTGCCCAAACTGTCTGTCTACCTTCAATTACCTTTCAAAAGTGATATCGTGGCCGCCCAACTTGAAAGACGTTTGCATACAACGATTCGTCGGACATTCAATGCCGCCAAATTCTGCCCCATTTGGGAGACCAGGAAGTTGCCTATGCCTCCAGTGAAGCCTACTCAACTGATCTCCGCCACAACCCATTGTATGTACCAATTCGTTTTTAACTGCGGTAGTAGTTACATTGGCAGGACAGATCGATCCTTGGGTAAGCGCATTGGAAAGCATATCCCAAAACGGATTGATAAAATATCGACACAACCAGTTGACGAACGAGAAAAGGTATCTAAGCTGTCGGCATCACCGATTGCCAGACATCTACTCGAAACAGGCAATCATGTTGACCCTAGGTCAACATTTACAGTTATCTATCGAAATGACAACCCCAAAGTATTGAGGCTTGCCGAAGCGGTGGCACTTAACCGGCATCGCCATATCCTTTGTGCACAAAAACAATTAACAGTCTCACTGAAGCTTTCTTGGGGCTCATGACCCTAAGATCAAGCTCGTTTATCCGTTATTCTTGCGTCCACGCACTTTTCCTTTGTGACCAGTTTCAAATCTTCGATTCTCCTGTCACGTACTTCATATTTATGTTGTTAGCTTGCGAGTGAGCAGATAACACGAAATGGTTCCATCTCGCAATACCAATCTTCTCATTGTCTTAGAATGATAAAGTGAACTCAGTGCCTTAAATATCCTTGCAACCCCACGGAACATTGTGCAGATTTGTGAGAGTCAAGATCGGTTTAAGAAAGAGATAACCCAGTGCTATTTAATACCGGATGAGTTTGGTGTAATTCGGTCGCTCGGAACCAGAAGAAGATAAGTGTTGGAAAGGAACTCGGCAAGATGTTGGGTCACGAAAATGGGAACTACAAAATGAAGGGACGGAGAAGAGGACCGTCTCACAAGCCCTCTAATGATCGAATAAGCATTTAAAAATGCCCCGACAGTAAGAGGCATAATAAATCGCTGGCATACCAGCGACTAAAGATAAAGCGGAAACCCCCTTTTACGAGGGTGCGGAACTTAAGATCCCGTTGAGGCATACTGATTTACTAATGTTTTTCGACCGTAACCTAGTAGGCACTGAGGACAATGGCCTACGGCAGGTGTCATCGTGAGCTAGCACGGTAAGCGTTAGTTTAGAAGCGAATGGGATCAGACTGGTGCCACGACAATTTTCGCAGAGCATCCGTTGGCCGTATATGAAGATGGAGATGACGACTGATAATCGCCAACCAGAGGACACAGTCACCTTGTGCGGAATAGTGTGAAACGGAGAAACCAGAGCAGACATGAGTCATCACTGTCTTTTAGTGTTGAAAATAAAGAGTGAAAGGACTCCATGAAGTTATAGAAACATGCTAGCGGTGATGACTTAGCAAACACATTTGTCCAAAAGAGAGCTATGAGTGTCTTAGGCTACGCTAACCACACGTCCCATATCCAATGTAAACTCGAGAGAAAAAGAGACGGAAGTAGGCCAGTAGAATTACTGAGTGCTTCCGAGTTCGCCCATACCCATCAACACGCAAATCACGTGGGGAGTGAATCTGGATTTCTGTGTACCATAGGGTAGATGCAACGCAAAATAAGCAAACACAGTTTGTGGGAGCTAAATTCGTTGAGAATGTGTGGCAGCGCTCTCACAAATCGTGCGTACCTACACCGAGAGAAAACCACCTGCAATCAGATGTATGTACTCATAATTCGAAACATGCATAAAGCAAACGCGGTGTCGAGATGCTGCGTCAGAATAGCTGGATCCGCCGCATCTGGGGAGCACGAACATCAGCAGTACGTCGTATCGACGCATCACTCTCACGTGACCATCACCAGTCACGTGTGAGCTATGAATGCCGCGAGGTTGCCTGCACCCAAACATATTCGAATACCTCAACAAAACATATTCGGATTGATCACGCACTGTACGAGCCGGTCGTCAGCCACATGTGGGCGAAAGGAAAAAAATTGGCCAATGGAATCGAGTTGGTAAGCGCCGAGCCACTCAATCATGACACAGGGTAAATGAGCGGGAAGAAGGAAGGGAACAAAACCGTGAACCCAAACTTATTTGACAATAATGGAAACTCATCAGTAATAATGGAAACGCCGGCATTTAAGTGGAACTGACTCGGTCGGGCAGAGTGTACAGCATTCAGGCGTTGTAACATCAGAGATGCGGGAAGATATGGTGACGAGTGGACAGGTGCAGCGGCTGGTTTGGACAGGAAATCACCGAATGAGCGCAGCTGTTCCATAATGGGGCCTAAGAGGAAGTTGATGAAGAGCAGATTGGTGGCCGACAAACTGATGGCCACTTGGTCTTGGATATAAAGACGAATCTCGGTTTCAGAAATGGAAGCTGCTTGGGGATGGTCAGCCCTAGATAAGAAAGGCGAAAACGCACAAAATAGTGTGACACCAGCAGAAGTAGATTGGAAACAAGCAAAATGAAGCGTAGGTGCAAAAATGAGATTTACGAAAGTTCACTAGGATCTTGTTATAACAAGACTAACAATTTAAACCAGGAGCCACACTGACAAGGCGGTGGGATGAAGCAACAGTTATGCACAATACTGGAGTCCAAGTGGCGAGGAAAGTTCGTAGACGTAGTTGTACTATTATTTTGAAAGAAAAAGTGCAGAAGGTATTCGCAGACAAGTGTTGCTAGAAATATCGGCGGTGAAAGACCATTGAAGAAGGTGGGAAGAAGGGCACAAGAGCTTATGGTTAGGAGTGAATGGATAATCGAACCCGACCATGCTCTTTGTATGAAAGAGAAATCATAAAAATAGACAGACCGCATTAGAAAAAGGTAAGAGGATGATGTAAGAATTTTGAAATGAAAATCAGCAGGATATAAGCGAAAACGTTCAAGTGCCACCGGAGAAGGCCACAATAAAACAAGATACTGAAACAACCAGCTGAGAATATCCGTTGCCTTATATCAACGGAATCACTGCAGTGGCAGCGAGACTTTTATTAACTTCTGGAGCTAAAGTTTGCACACCCACGAACTGAGACAATTCGTAGTAAATCTTCAGTGAAAGATGAACTCAGCAGGGAGGAAACAACTGATGTGATTTATAAGATCTGCTGCCGGAACTGTGACACATACTACGTGGGACAGACTGGAAGAAACCTTCATCATCATCATACACGTTAGCTAGAGGTGGGGAACACCTCAGCTACTGTGCCGCAATACATAGAAAAAGGAGGGGAAAAAAGCAACTGGTGCAAGCTGGCTGAGCTACCGGTAACGGATAGGCATCGTTCCGGTAAGCTACCAGCCGTCTGCTGTGCACCAAAAAAAGAATACTATGCGAAATTATATAAGGCTAAATAATGAGATCGTGGTTGGAGGGGGAGGCTAAGAGGGATGGGGTGGGACAAATAAACTCACAGCACGAACGCCACTGAGGTCGGCTCCTAGCCATATCAGCAAGTGTGTCCAACCAAACGTGTTCATCGTCTTTCGGACCCCAACCAAGGAGTCGAGACGCTTTAACCGAGGCCAGCTTCGAAGTGAGGGCCTTCATTCCTCTCGACCAAGTCATCGCTTGGCCACCCCTCCTCTTCTTCCATCCACACCCCCGGCGCGCAAACAACGCACGTCGAGGGAGTCGGTGGGTTGGCATGCGTAACACGTGGCCGAGCCATCGGAGCCTGATGCGTGAAATAACGGTGCTGAGCGGTTCATTTCCTTTTCCTGTGCCATAAACAGGCTCACGCGATGTTCCCACCAGCTGTGAGTTAAATTACGAAGGCACCGGTGGTCGAACGTAATTAGCCTCTTCAGGTCCGCTGCTTTAAGCGGCCAGGTTTCACAACCGTACAGTAGGGTAGAACGTACTGCTGCATTGTACACTCTATCCTTCAGGGCAAGAGTGATGTCGCGCCGGCGCCATAAGTGGCGAAGGTTAGCAAAAGCGCTCCGAGCTTTTGATATACGATTCGTGATCTCATCCTCAATCCCACGGGCGCTGATACGGAAGAAACCTTGGCACAAGGCTACAGGAACACAGTCCAGCCACTCGTCACCACGATCAGAACTCCCTGATGTCCGTGCATATGGATACCGAGAACTATCAATTCGACTTGGACCGCGCTAACATTCTCGGAAGGGTCAAAAACCCGCAAGCACGTGAGTTCATTGAAGCCTTGCATTCAAAGCAGAACTTAATCAAAAAGCACTTGAACCTCGAAGTTGCTTACAATGCACTGAGAATCAGGCCCATAAAACCGTACCGATGATGTTGTCTCGTCACGCAACGAAACGTCCGCAAAATAATCACTCAGCTCTGAGATCAACCCAACATACACACCGAAACAATCGTGTGTTTAGATAACCTACAGTATGGCAAAACATCAATGCTTAACACTAATGCATCACTGCCGAACACATATCATGAACCTGCAAATAAGGAATAATCAGCATGGATATACAACGGTGATACGCTGTAACAGACGTGCGTTCGTGTGTGTGTGCGACGGCTATTGGTTATCTGTCATAACCAATGATTGGCAACGTGATTCTGTGCCGCATGTACCAATGCAGCCATGGAAAGGGCCAGAAGCACCATGTAGATTTTATTGCCCCATTCGAAGGTCAGATGATCTTGATCTTGATCATTGATGCCCAATCCAAGTGGAGTGATACCCACGTCCTGACTATAGCAAATTCAGCTAACACAATAGTTACACTGCGTACGACATTTGCAACCTTCGGTCTTCCGGAAACACCAGTGTCAGATAATGGAGTAGCGTCCACTAGTGTCGACTTTTCTGCCTTCCTTATCTCGAATGGGATTAGACTGCGCCTTATCTTCCGTCATCAAATGGTTTGGCTGAGAGGGCTGCACAGACAGTGGAGAATATGTTCCTGAAGCAACCAGCAGCCCCACTGCGTGTGCGTTTGGACCGCGCCCTTTTCGCCTACTGAAACATGGCAAACGAAATCACTGGTAGAAGCCGCATGGAATTAATATCCGGCCATCAGTTGCGTTCACGGTTGGGTTTATTGCAAGGCATCCTCGGTTTTGTGGCTTGCAAAAAACAAGAACGCGAAAAGCAACGCACTGACACCGGCGGCAAAGACAGGTTTGTAGAAGAATCTGATCCCATCTATGTTCGTCTGACTACATATTCCGGGTGGCAACCTGCCATTGTTAAAACAGCCAACGGGCAAATCACTAGGGTAAAATCTGTGGATGGCAGGATTGTCAGACGGCACTTAGATTAGGTGCGACCGAGACTGTCGACCTTAGCAACAACCGCCTCTACATCGGTCTACGCGCCAACGCCGGCAAGTGAGTCGATTCTAGGCCGGATAGTTCAAATCACAGAGAGGAGGGGTGATACACTGTGCCGACCGCTCACTACCTGCATGCGTTCGTGTGGGTGTGTGTGTACTACGGAAATTGGCCGTCTGCCGTACCCATTGGTTGGTAACTTGATTCTGTGTTCATGTGACTTCGAATGCTTTGCGCTCACTTTTTGGTGTACAGTAGTACTTGCCGTTTACGTGAATAGCCGTCTTACTACATAACACTGTATCCTGACTTCGTCTTGGCGTAACAAACGGAAATCTTCATCAACACCAGTTCAGCAGTAAGTTGGACTGATACTTCAAGCCCGTACAATTAGAAGGACCTAGGGAGAGGGAGGATTAAACTGGGGTGGGACTAGTGAAAAACCTAAATACCATGGGGTAACATATAAGCACGTGGTGCCAACTATTGTCGATAACAAAAAATGGCGACAACTTAGCGATGGTGCGAACCGAAGGCGCAAATCGCGAGACAGCTTCTCTGCGGTATGAACTACATTCGATGTTGTGTCGCCGCTGGTGCCTTCACCCCACGACCGCAATAAGAAGTCCAAAGACGAGCCAGAAGGAGACTTGTATACATGAAATCACAGTTGCTTATATAGTTTGAAAGCAAAATGAAGGGAAGCTACTAAAGTACACTTGAGCCAACCAACTGAAGGAAAAACGTCAAATGCAATGGCGAATAAGCAACCGTGTACTCAAGAGCGAATCGCGTATGTCCTTAAAAATAGCACCATTGGACTCCAAAGGTAAAGCGAACGACCATTTACAGTGACGGGCATTGGCCAATCAGAATGACGAAATGAAACGTTTAAACAAAAGTCACGAAACAAACGCGAATAAGGAATGCAGACCCAAAAGTTGAAAATTAGTACCATAATTGTGTGACACTAAATATTCCTTTAACATAACCAAGTAGGAGAGTGATGAGAAGAAAAAACCAATAGAATATGTTCTTGCAAACAGCGCTGCTGAGAAGGGCATGACGATGAGCGTCTAGTAACAATGACGCGGATGTACCAATCGGGCGAACCCAGTAGAGCGTTTAAACAACAGTCAAGGAATAGAAAATAGGAAGAGTAAAGAATAGCTATCAAGCTCGGTCACAATAAATGAATGTCTAATGGCTGTTCTCCTAATAGTCGACATAAGCAGCCACTCCACAAAGAAAAACAGGAGTCAAGCTAAGTCTAAAACAGGGGGAGCAAATGTGACAATGGGAATGGACGAGGACCACGTACCACCAATTACACAATCAAATGCATACATGATTGAGAAAAACAGAACGGAAAGCAAACGGATCAAAACCGGCACATCTAGTAGACGCTGATACCAGCAGTCGCCTCAAACACAGTTAACCCACCAAACCAGCGTTGCACAACTCCCAGTAGAGTTAGGCAAAGTTGTGCAACTTGATACGGCTACATTCTGAGGTAAAAAATAACAACCGAGAGAAAACGTCTTGGAACGAAAACAGATTACAAAGAAAATGGAACAAAGGAAGAAATGGGTACTGGTGACGTGAACCATCACCGCGCCCTCATCCACGAACATGGCACGCACCAACCTGACCAAGTCTCTCAGTCAATTACTTCATACCTTTGTGCCTCCTCATTCATCTGCCACCTCGCTGTCTCACCCAACTTGGTGCAGCGATGACGCATAACGCACGCCGAGGAAGTCAGTCAACGGGCATACGGAGCACATGAGCTAGCCAACGTAAGCGGTTGCGCACTAGTAAATCCTCCAGTGAGGCAACAGAGGATTTCTTGACAAAAACCAAATGGCCGGCCTCAGCATTGCTAACCTGTTGTTCCCACCAGATGTGAGCAATACTCTGGAAACACCAGTGATCAGACACAGTCAAACGTTTAATAGCTTATGTGCGAACTGGCTAGGTCTCTGATCCATACACTAACATCGCTCTTATATCAGCGTTATGCCCCCCTACCTTGCACTGACAAGCTGATATCCCGCTGTTTCCATAGATGGCTGAGCGTGTGAAATGCCGTACGGGCTCTGCTGATATGAGAATTAACTCCCTCAGCAC